TGATGTGGTGGCTACTACAGAGTGTGCTTCTTTCCATCTTTATCTGGTTGAGAATAACTTCTACCTGGATCTTAAAAATTTCCCTAGATCAAATCTCACTGGAAAAGATCCCAAGAAATTAACTGGCCCTTTCTGAAAAGAAAAATTTCAGGCTAAAGAATTCCCCTGTTTGTTTTTGCTATGGCACCATAAGCATTTTAGGAAAAGAATTTATAACACAGGAAATCTGTTGGTTTAGGATTACCAATTTATTTTGTGCTAAAATATAATCTCATGGACAATGACATTTCATAACAAAATCTCTGCCTAAGAAATACTTTTACCAATATAAAGCAGACCTAGTATTTTATTGCTAATAATCTAATGCAGCATCTTTATTTTGCTCCCCTGCTTCTCAATATTAAAATGCAGTAAAATGTGCACTTTCTAAAATGCTCAAACTTAGGTAGTTGCATTGCTTGTGGAACTCTAGGGCTCCCTAAATCATAAATTATATTGATGTCTTCAGTAAATAAAAAGCATCCAAACGCACATCTGAAGAGAATTTAGCAAGTAACTAACGTGAACATTAAAATTATGTATTTTAAAACCAGGCTCTTGCAGCTACACATTCTTAGCTGACAAATCAGTACCTGAGCCAAGTAAAGGAGGGAGTTCTCAAACATAAAAAACCAAGTATGGGAACTGATTTGAAAACTATTTTCTAATAACTTGAAACTCAGCTCAGAAAAAAAAAATCTATAATAGGATTTGTTGGAGAAGGCATGAATTTCTCTAAATGAGAAGTCAAATATGAATGTGCATATTCAAAATTACATTCCCTTTTTTCGAGTATCAGGTTACCCATTCTGAAATCATAGAGAAAGATCAGAGAGAAGTTCCAGCAGGGCACCAAAGGCTTTGCAGCTTTAAATGCCTTGAAGACATGGGAATCCTTATACCACTTTGATATTTCACATTCCATGGGGAACTCTTATAGAGAGGTTTTGAAAATCTTTATTTCTTAAAGTTATGGGAAAAAAATCAACTGAGAGTATCTTCTTATTACAATAATACAGGGGAGTAAGCAATACCTTTCCTTATCTGGCAAATCCATCCATATAGATAATCACAGTGCCTGTCATTCCAAAGCATGTTGGAATTACCATTGATCTCTGCACAAAGTTCAATTCCTTGATAATTATTGGGTTCTCCATAGCCCCAGTTTTCATACCTCACCTATGGCAGAAAAAGTTCTGTGAAGATTATGTTATATGGAAATAAGATATTGGAGAGAGGGAGAAGACACCAACGAACCATAAAAATTCTTACTCTCATTTTAATAACTTATCTAAGAGCAAACCAGAATCTACCTTTGCAAATGCTGACATTTGAAATTTTTCCAGATTGCAACTGGACTGCAGCTTACGTAACAGCTTTTTCCATTCACACTAGGAACAGTACTAACATTTTTAATGGGACCCAAGTTCTGTGAAATTCATTTAATAACAATGATGGGTCATGCTACATGTTATTAAATTAAGTAAATAAGCAGTATGAGTAAAATAGTAGGATATTATTCAGACACAAGAACAATGTTGGCATTTTTCTCAGAAGACTGTTACTGCTATTCTAATTTTCCTGTATGAAATCCAATTCCAAATTTCCATACTGTAAATGTCCATCTATATATCTTGACCAACCTTGCATGAGATACATCCACATCTCCAAAACCACTTTTGTTTCTACAGTTTTCAACCTTAGTCTAAAGTGCAATAAGTCACACTGGCATAAAAATGCTGCCTTCATCTCCATGGCATGTAGGCCATTTCAAATAATTAGCAAAGAAAAGAAACACTAAAGATGGACTGTTTTACTCAAAAGATCCTTGCATTGATAGGAACATCCTTTTATGGTACATGTATTTAGTTTTCTTGTTGATTCCATGCATAGTGTCTTATCAAAAATCAGTATGTTTTAGCCAAAAATATCAAGCCATGACATTGTTATTTATAAGCTCTCCTAAAGAGAGCATGATACAGAAGGGGGTTATGATTAAGCATAAAATTACACAGAAACACATACACCACACACACTTGAGAAGCACAGGGAATGCAAACTAACAGCTGTGGAAAATTGAATTACTCACTGGAGATCCATCACTCCAAACAAAGCCACTGTCAGGATTCAAATAATATAGACCCATCCAGAATTGCTGGTTGTAATAGCCATTGTTCCTAAAGGAAAAAAAAAAACCAACCCCCATAAATAATAAATGCTCCATTTATAGGAAGTTTAAACATAAACCAAATACTAATAAGGGCATTCCAGTATTTTTCATAATCTATCATTTACAGCAATTAAGAAAGCTTCTCCAAAAATAATTCCTAAATCTATTAGAAACCATAACGATCAGGGTGGAAATAAATGAAAAGGGAACTCCTTCTAGCTATTATCATTATACATTAACTCAGACTGAAATACTGATCAAGAAAATGGCCAGACCCAATCCAGCTCCTGTAAGGCTGCTTAATGCTTTTGTATAATGGTTCAAAAGCTACTGTTGCTCCATTTATCAACTCTCCATTTTCTCTGTAAAGGCACTTATGATTTCCAAACACAAAGTTACTTGATACAGTTGAATCATATTTAAAAAATAGCACCATAAACTAATTCTTGTCTGCAAGCAGACACACTTTACTTATTTATCTGAATATATTGAGTCAATTTGTGGCAATTGAGTCAATTGTGGCAATCTGAGACTTCTTCCTTACTACAAGTACACAGTTGGAAATCTAGTACAGTCAGAGCAATTTGCTAGGCTGACGTGTTCCAGCCTTTTTTCCTAGTTAGCCAGGGATGTACAAGATCAATGAGCCTGGTCTCTTCAGGTCATATCTTGTGTTAGATTTTAAAGAGTATTTAATCTCATTCACCTGCTTTTTGCAGTTCAGGAACTTACTAACCTTATTTGCATTCCCTATGTAGGAAAAAAAATTAATCTGAAATTGCTTCTGCTTTCTGGTTAATTCATAAAAATGACAAAAAAAATCAAAATATCGATCAGATTTATATCATGATTGTTATCCTATTTGTACACTTGCTTATGTGAAAACAGCTGGATTCTGTGTTAATTTTGTAATATCCCCAACTCCATGGTAAATATTTTTACTTCAGATTATAAATACTGCCTCAACTAGATATCTTGCCAATCTCACTTCATCATTAACTTCTGAGGTGATTGCTGCTAGTCATAGAACTCTGCTATCTCATCACCTCTGCTTGTTTGCTATGTGTTTGATACAAACACAGCTAACGAATCCAGACTGGCTTATACTGAAGTAAAAACATTAATGAACTATTTCAGGAAGATCAAAAGGCTAATTGAAGTGAATGGATGAGCACACTGCAGATACTCACGCAATAGAACGCCATATCACATACTGCTCTTCTTTACCATTAATGGAGGCCAAATCTCCTCCTAGAGCTCGACAAAACTCCTGTGAGCCAAGCCATGTCTTCTTACGCTCTCCTCCAGGAAAAGGCTAGAGAGAGCATTATGCAGTCAGGTAAAACAGACTATATAGATCACAAGACCAAGAAATATCAGCTACCCAAAAGCAATTAATTTACAATTACCTCGTTCTGTGGGGTTTATAGAAACATTGAACATAGGGTTTAGGAGTGTTCACCTCTGTGAAACACAGGCTTAGAATGAGTGCCTTAAAGCCCAGTTAGCAAACTGCATTGCTGACACAAGTACCTACTACAAGACAACAACTAGGAGAAAGGTACTTTTAATCTTAAAAGAATGGGAAATTAAAAACAGAAGATCAAACCTGAGGATTGGTCTTTAACAGAATAAACAAAACCATCAGCATTTCAATAGAAAGCAAGAAGACTTCTACATATAACCTGTAAATAAGATTATGAAACAATGGGATGCCTGTATGGCAATTTTTACTGCATGTGTGTGCAGGAAAACAGAAACGCCCTTAATGAAGAAATAACCAACATACTTACTTTGAAACAGAGGCTAATACGATTGTTTGAGTCCCAACCTTCTGGACACTGGGGAATAGGAGTTGTTGTAGGAACAGGTGGAGGTGTCACACCTTCTGCCCACATTTTGCATAGGAACTTGGCCTTTTCTTCACATTTTATCACATCCCATAACCCACCTGCAATTCCAGTCCTCATGACAACACAGCCTGTCTTTTTTCCTGGTCGTAAACAGGAAGATGCACAAAAACAACGTTTAGGGAGACATAAGAATTTAGAAAACTTAATAGTCTATCCTGACAGAAATAAAGTCTTTGTACAGAGTCAAAAATATTTCTAATGTTAGCACAGGTCCACAGGAGGGATACAAAAATGATCAGACAGCTGGAACACCTCTCCTATGAAAGGAGGCTTAGGGAGTGGAATTGTTCAGGCTGGAGGCTCCAGGGAGACATTACCATGGCTACTCAATATCTAATGTGGGTTTATAAAATGAAGAAAGACTTTTTACCTGAGCCTGCAGAGACAGACCAAGTGGCAACCATTTTAAAATGAAACAGGGTAGGTTTAGATTGGGCATAAGGAAGGAATTTTTTTATTATGAAGGTAGTGAGAGACTGGAACAGATTGCTCAGAGAAGCTGTGGCTGCCCAATCCCTGGAAGTGTTCAAGGCCAGGCTGGACAAGGCTTTGAGAAACCTGGTCTAGTGGAAGGTGTCCATGGCAGGGCATGGGGACTAGATGATCTTTAATTGTTCCTTTCAACACAAATCATTCCATGATTCTATGATTCCAATTCATGAAGAAGAAAAAAAAAGGCAAAAAAAAAATCTGTGGTTCATCCACACCTGAGATACTAAATTATGTCTCACATCAAATCACCTCCAGTGGTTGACTCTAACAAACACAACCTTGCATCCAACAGATTCTCCCCTAAAACTCAAGATGTGGTTAGAGCTAGTTTCTCAAAATTGTCTAATTTGACTTAGGATTTTCAAAAATTAACTTGCTATATATAAGTCTAGTATTGGCTTCATGGACTACTTTACCACTTCACCTGAAACATTCAAATCAGCAATTAGGCTTTGAAATTCAACAGAATCAGATCATTTCCTGAAAGGCAAATACAAGATGCCAGAATTTTGAATGCTGACAACAATCTCCTTATCTGATGTGATCATGTCAGAGATTACATTACCTCCCATCCTTTTATTTCAACCCTCTAGTTCTTTCCTACAATTCCATTTTCTCTAGGACCAGAGATGCTTCATGCATGCTGTGATTCCACACAGTGTAGAACATGCAGTGTGCAAGTGCATTATGAGATATGGCTGAACTTTCTGACAGGGTGCAATATGCCTGCAGAGATTGCTCTTCCACAGTAGTACCAACACAGACTTTCTCAGAACAACTGCAAATCAGATACTTCATCTTGATTAAAAGTTCTTCCCAAGATCATAATGAAAACTCATTTCAGCACTAAGCAGGAACTTAGCAGCAACACTGGATGCTTGGAGAAAGCAGTCAGACATGTTTGAAAGCAATTAGTCATTACACCATCAAGCGAGGGCTAAAGAATGAAGTAAAAAAATTCAAGTAGTGAACAATGTGATTTTGGGCCCTGGACTCATGAAACAGTGTAGAGCCATACCTACCAGGCATTTCAGAATTCCAGTGTGTAAACAAGACAGATTCACCATTAGTCCACTTGAATGTTCCCTTGTCTTCTACATCTGAAAGTCCAATCCAAAAGTATCTTTCTGTACTCAGCCCAACCAGGCTAGTCAGATAGGCTTGTTCATATCTGTTCAAAAGAAATCAGTCATTAAATTAATACTGTTAAAATTTTTTTTATATGTTGTAAAAGGCTTGTTATTTTCTCTGAATTGCTGCAGTACCTTCCTGAAAGCCTAGCCTGGATGGATTTACCTGAGCAAAGCATATAACAAAACCATTACATAATAGGTATTTTGTAACCTTTAATACCAGAGTCTTCTGCCTTCTTTTTAGATGTCCTTCTTTTTAGAAGGTGGCATAATCATGGGCTGACATAGTGAAGAAGGTGGCATAATCATGGGCTGACATGAAATTGCTGAGAAAGAAGAAACCTGGCATGGCTTATATGTTATACCACTGTATTTTTTGAGGTTTCTGTACTCTTGTATTTTAACGACATAATACTCTTGTATTTTAATTTCCTTTAGGCAAATCCAAAACTGGAAAGGAATCTCAGCTTTGATAAAAAAAAAAGATACAAAAAGTAGAGTCTAGACTAATATGATACTGAATTATCAAATTAATTTACACTGTAAATCAAAACATCATGTAAGAAAAGTTATATTTGGGAAACAAACCTATGTAGAGGTAAAGCCTGTTATAGTTCATTATGGCATTTAAGCAAACAGCTCTTAAGAAATCAAAGCAAAAAAAAAGAATTCTCCCCTTAACAAGGTATAGTCTGAAGACCACATTAATGTTAAACCATTTTTATGGCATCTGCATTGCTGCCTACATTTAGAGAGCTACCATTCACGGGAGCTGGAGCTTTCACAGTGGAACATATCTATTTAGGTTATATAGAAACAAATAGATGATTGTGTCAAACATCAAGTCATCCTGCAAGCAAAATAAGCCATTTCTTTATTTTGTCTTTGTTTTGATATCCAGATGATGCTGGATCTTGAATCCTCATGTGTTCCCCTCATACAAGTAGACTTTTACATACCTGTCTTCAATAGTTGCTAAAAAAGCCTGATGTCTTACACAGGTTTGATTTGCTTGAGGAAATGTTACAAACGTATTTCCAATGAAGTAACAATAAAAACCATGTCTTTTCCAACCCTGTCAAAATAAACAGGAAGAGATCAAGTATGAGAAAAAGAAGGGAAGAGAAGGAAAAGGAAAAGACAAAAAGGAAAAGGAAAAATGAAAAAGGAACAACAAAACCAAAAACTGATTTATAACACTGCTGTCTCTCCTCCAGAGAAAGGAAGAATGGAACTGAAAAAGTCTGAGTGAAAACAGGCAGGATCAAAGCTTTTGAAAATGTTGTTCCACAAAACAATTTTTCACATATGATGAATTTTTAATCAGTGCATTTCACTCATAAAGGAATGAAAGGCTTTGCTGTGCACCTTTAGTGCTCAGTATAGGATTATAACTATCACATAGGCATTGTGCAATCATGAGAATATTCTTGAAAATCAAATTTCAGCCTGGCTTTTCAGAAAGGGAATGACACCTTAAACAAGTTTGTCTGTTGTTAATTAACACTCTCTCCTAATGTTTTGTCATTCAACTGTAATTTACTCAAGAATATGCTTTCAGAGGAATTTGCTGTCTGCAAATTTGCTGTTTGCACAACTCACACATACTTTCTTCTGATAGTTTTCGATTTCTCACCTATGAGAAACTTACTTCTCAGAGTATGCACTTACTTCTGTTGGCAAGGATAACATTCATAAGTGCTAGGAACCCTTTAGCTTCTCCAGTGGTTGAACATTTGTAAGGATTCCAGGTACTCCTTTACAAATACTGAGAATAATCTTCAAAGATTTCCTTTGCAGCGATGTAAAGCAGACTTGCAAGAAAAGGGAATTTCTTCAAGGGAGACAAAAACTCAGTAAGATCTCCAATGACATAAGAAATTACAGTAGTTTTTTTGGAATTACTGAGTGTTATGTCACCGGTAGTCCAGCATTGCCAATTAAAACCATAGACCTGCTGGCAGTCCAGAAGGAGCACAACAGATTCATTTTACTTGGGCGCTGGTAACAAATTCTTCAAAGCAGAGAGCACTGCCAGAGACCACAGCAAAGCCTTGAGAGCAGCAATCAAGGAAAAATGGCCTACTGCAGGGAGAATAACTGTGAAATTTGGTTTAAGTTGTGGAAAAAGAAAGGGAGTATCAAGAGCCAAATCATGGCCATAGACTAGACTTAGTCATATGTATCACCTATCCCATCTGCCATAGAAATGAGAGGGCAAGCTCTGATGATGATGATGACAACAGAGAATCCATTTTTCCATTTTACCTGTCACCTAGGTGACAGTTTCTCCTCTTTATCATTCCTAGCAGCCTATTCAAATCATACAGTTTTTTCTTCACTTACTCTCTGGCAGCCCATATCAATGGTTTCCTCTTCTGTAGGAGCATCTGACATGGGTTTCCTTTTACAGATGTAGCCAATTTTCTTTTCACAAGAACGGTCTGCCCAAAACCCATTCTGAACATAAGAACAGAATGTCACAGTCAAGTGGGATTTAATCTTCCAAGGGAAAAAGGTGCTTGATGCTTTTAAGTATTTAATCGTTTTTTGATAGCTTTAAAAGAAGCAAAACCTACATTTAAGTTCAGTTCTTAATTGCAACCTCGTTCCAACCTCACTTCTTCTAGAGCTGATTCATCATTGATATACATATTTTTTGATTATTTACCCTTCTGAAATGTGAACCCTTGAAGATGACAGCAATACACCACCTTTAAAAAGACTAATGATTTAATAACCATGCAGGAGGAAAGGGAGATAGTCTCTCCCAACAGAAATACAGTTGCAACAGAAAAAAACGAACAAACCAACCAACCAATCAAACAAACAAACACCCACAAAAGAAACTACAAACAAAACCAGAAGACTGCATTCCTTAGTTAATACTTATATATAAGTCAAAATTAGAATTAACATTGTTACTCTTCATACTACAGATTCTCAGAAGAAACAATGACGTTCAGTGGGAGCTGTACAGAAAATACAGAACCTCACACCATGTTCTCAATATATTTTACATGCATTTTGGTTGCAAAAATTAACTAAGGTATTTGGAGAGGAAGAGAGACCTGTTTGCAAAACACTCACCTGTGTCTTAAAGACTCTACTTTTGCAAATGTAAAATCATGGCAGTTAGTGGCAATTCTTTTCTTTTCTTTTCCCTTGTTTTTATTCTTTTTTTTAAATCCCCAGATATGTAAAAGAATCCTTATGGTAATACACAGACACTAGTGCCACAACATGCAAAGTCCTCAAGAACCTCAACAAACCCTGCTTCCTGCAAATACTTGCCAAAAGCTCAACACTACTGCCTACAACACCAACAAAGACCTGGGTCTTCAGCTGGTGTTTTGTCTGTCCTGTGCTGACTGAAAGGCATTGGTAGCTGTCTCATCACCTCCTACCATGTCTTTCTCAGTTTCATTAGGCTGGTAGGCACTTCAAATAACCACCCAAAACCGACCTTTTCAGGGTGGGAGAAATCAGCACAACTTTCAAAACCTTTAGACTTCTTCAACACAGGAAAACCTACTCTGAAGCTTTGTGTCTTTAGTTGCAGAAATATCCTTTTGCTGCTTTCCCATAAATGTGTCTTCATTGGGAAATTAATGCAGTAATTTCTAGGCAATTCTTACCACATCATATGAGCTGCCTTTTCCAAGTATGTCTCTGTTCTCTTACTTCCTCATTCAATGAAACCAAACATTTCCTTTACAAAGAAGGTGGTGTCATAGACAGGAGCAGGCCATAAAAATAAGTGATCAATTCAGATGGCTTGAGCCAAGGACTGATCAATCCAAAATCATCAACAATGGAAACATATACTCTTAGGTAGACAAACCTCAACAAAAACAGGGCAGCTCAACTTACAGTCATACATTGTTTGATCAGCTGATGACTGATTTCAAGAGATAATGAGCTATCGCAATTTCCATGGAATTTCTCCAGCCAAAACATACATCATGCTTTCTGTATTGCTTTTGAGCACTGATGCAAGTGAAAGGATGACAGCTCTTCTAAAGCACCAGAGTAGAACAGAAGGCTGCTCCTTTTATTTATAGCTACAGCCGTAAATATATCTATCTATTGCTCTTGGAATTAAAAGGGCTTCTGAGGTTTTGATACAAGTCTCATAAGTGCTGGAGAACCTCAAGATCCTTCTGTATTGACTGGCACTGTGATAGGTGAAGGAAGAGAAGGCTTGGTCTACCAGAGGATGAAGCCCTCCCTTCCCAAAGCAAAGGCTCAGCATTCTGAACAGGTATTTTCAGGTGGCTGCTGTCCATATTATTAAGAAAGTCAGCCTGCCATCAAAAACTCTCCTTCTGAGCAGTGAGGGTTATCTGACTGCAGCAAATGCTGCATTTTTAGCATGGCACACAGGACACGACCAGTGGGCCCAAATCTTAATGCTTTGAGACCCTGGTCATTGAATTAATTTTATTTTAATACCCATCAGATGTTAGATCCCTTCTATAATCTCAGGTCATTTTTTATAAAGAGATCTGCCAGGAGACATACAAGTAATCACACTCCACTGCATATATGTGTAACTACTCCTGCCTCTCTGTAATTAAGCTGCCTGTGTGTCCCAGTGGTTTAGTCTGGACTTCAGGATTTTACTGACCATATGAAGTGAGGGTGAGGACATAAATAGGAACGACTCCTATTTTGTCATCCATTCCTTATCCACTAGATTTCAATGAATGACCACAAAGAAGGGTAATAACATTAGGTAGACCAACAGTGGGGTTTTTAGGGCTTGACATTGTGGAGTGGCATGGGTTTACTCCAGACCATGTTGTTCCTGCCCTGCACCAGAGCATACTGCTAGGACTAGCTGCAATCTTTCCCTGTCTCACCTTTCTCCTAAAATCTTGTGGAATTAACCAGATGTGTCTTTCCTCTAATCTTGCAACAGAACTGGGGTAGCTGTCTCTTTCCTAGAAAATGCAACAAGTGCTAGAGTTCAAACTATCACAGGTGATTTGCTTAGGTTTGCAGAAAATTAGAATATAGTGGATGCTGCTGTACACAAATAGAGATTTTTAACCTAAATCTAAGCTCCCCAAAATTCTGTTACACTTGGCTTGGCCAGCAAATGCCATCTAGATACTCAGATAACCACAAAATAGATTCTGCCCTTCTATTTTTAACCTAAATCTAAGCTCCCTAAAATTCTGTAACACTTGGCTTGGCCAACAAATGCCATCTAGATACTCCGATAACCACAAAATAGATTCTGCCCTTCCCTTTTTATGCTTGAAACTCTTGGTCTGAGGGCAGTCAAGTCCTTTTGGTGAAAATCATAGCTTTACCAATGCACTGAGGTTCCCCTATATGTTCAAAAAGAAAGTAAAAACTATAAATAATTATTTAAAATGGCATCAAGGAACTATGAATATAGAGAGTAATCTTATTAAATTTTTTTATGCACTACCCAAATTATGAAATGCCTGCCTGCCTCTACCTCCTCTAATACCACCTGCACCAATACTTCCACATACAATACCATAAACCCTAAAGTTCACACCAACAGATGAGGGTAGATAAAGGGTCCAGGATAGCAGATGAGACAAAAACCTCAAATATGTGTTCCTTGGTTCCCCACACCAAGGTCAGCTACCTTACAAACCTTGTGTGCTTGAACAAGTTCTCCAGCCTTGACCAGTCTGAAAAGTCCTTGAAGTCCATGCCATTTATAACCTCAATTGACTGACTCTCATGTTTGAGCACTCGGCTTCCTTCCACTGTCTGAGCCTATAACTCGGTTAGACAAAGCATCTTCTACATCCTCAGCCAGCACTGGCATAGCCACTGGTAACAAATTCTTCAACAATGGAGCACAAAAATCCTCACACCCTTAAAAGACTCTTCAATTATCATGTGCACCATGGCCTGGCTGACATGGAATAAATATACATCTACACTTTTCTCACAGAACATGCCCACTAATACAACGGAGAAGGATTTTTAATATATTATAATCTTACTCCTGCTTCTGACCAATGCAAATTTTTCACATATATAT